GCAATTGTTGTTTCATGTTACAATTTGAAGTCATTGTAGAAAGAAAAAAGAGAGTAATTTAGATTTATTTAAGTTTTATATATAAATATATTTTTGTGGTTACAAGGTCAGTCAAGTTGACCAACCTTGTATAGAGTTAGGTAGAGAAAATAACAGATAAAATATAAAGTTTTACTGAAAAAACAAACATTTGATATGCATTTAGGAGGTTTCAGAAGGTACACAAATGAAATTTGAGATTTTTGATATGAAGAAAAGTATTTTTAATCTTTATTTTAGTTTATTAAAAACATTTCACTAAAAAATATGATTTTTTGTATGTGAAAGACTTATAATGTTAACTGAAAGACTGCCAAATTTTGTGAAGATATACATACTATATTGGATGTTAGAAATATTAAATCTATAAAAACTTTTAAACGAGTACAAAGAGGTCAGGTGGTCAGTCAAATCGACCAACCCCATGTCTCTCTAACTGGGACATAATAGCCTTAAAATAATTCCCCAGGCTTCTCAATCTGAACACTGAGAGAGAAATTAAAACTGAAGATGAAATAGAAAATGGATTATTATACCTTGTTTGATAGATTAAAAACTTTGTTTTTCTACTGGTTAATATAAAATATATCTACTGATATAATATAAATCAGAGAGAATTATAGACAATTTTGGAAAGAGAGGATGTGACATGTGGGTGGGGCAAATGGGCCTGATATTCTAGTTAATGTCTCCATAAACAAAAAAGATTGAAGGATATAAAAACTAGAGTTTTGCCTTATTAATATCTATACAAGTAATAAAAACATGTTGTAAATGTAAAGTGATGTAGGGATGGCAGTGCCAGAAAGAATGCAAACAAGAATATAGGGATGATACAGCTATATGTAGATCATCCCTACATTAAAATTTAATGTTACACTGTAAAATGCATGAGTATAAAATGGATTCAAGGTCAGTCAATTCAACTGACCTCGTAGTGAGAGTCTTTAATGATCAAGACATGTTTTGACTCAACTTGGTCTATCTTGTTCACAAGTCCTAGGCTCTTAATTACAGTACGTTGATGCCTACCCTGACATGACCATGATATCATAATAAACAAACTACATACCAACAGTCAGGAATATATAACTTCCAACTGCAGTAATAGTAAAGTCAAGTAAGCATTTTACAGTGTAACATTAAATTTTAATATTGAAAGTCATATATATATATCCATTAAATTTCTGTATTTCCAAATCCTGGTGCAATAGTTTGTTTGACAATGCTGTAAAAATCTGACAAATGATCTACAAGTTACTAGATGATATAAGCAGAAGAAACTCTATTTAATGTAGAATCATGCCACAAAAATCATGAATTCATGATAAGGATATACAGGATCTTGATTTACATTTAGAGTAAACTCCCCATTTATGCTGCCCAGAAATGACAGTGTTCTTTTATCTTGTGTGCGATGTTTTCCACAATATTTTTCATGCCAATTGGGCATTCCTTTCAAATTTCTATTACCTGATGTAACTTGCAGGAGCATTCAGCACATGACACATGTTCATTTCATGCCCTGCTTTGTAATGTGCAAAACCATGGTTTAAATTGAACTATCTGAAATTATCAAAATCTAAAAAAAATATTTGTACTTACTGTTTTGTTTTCTGTTTAAGTCTATGATAGAGATCAATATTTTTACAGTGTAGGTTGTTGGTGTTGGTGCTACTGGTGGTTAGGTTGTTTCATATAGATAAAAAAAGTTCTGGAGCTTAATTAGTAGGGTTGATTGATGTATTAAAGTGTTAGTTTGATTGGCTGGAACTGTTTACTATTTGGTTGACATTTTAAAATTATTTCAGAATTTTTGTTGCTTATTGGATGAGAATTTTCCCATCTTGGTTGCATTTTGTTATTACATAAGCCTGCAAAAGATAATGTATTGAATCAGTACTTAAGAATAACAAGCATTAAACCATAAGTTTTTAAAATTAGTAACCTCTTTGAAAATAAAAGTAAAAAGTTATATATATTAAGTTAGTTAATTTATAAGTATAACCCTAGTACAACTATCGTCTGGCTGGCAAAACATTCAGATAATTTACCGGAAAATTGACAGATAATGAAAATATATTTTCTTAAGAGTGTCATGTAATGAGAAGGTACTACGTTATAATGCCAGTTATTTTTATTTTAGTTTTTTTAAAGGTAATGTCACATTATATCGATATCAAGTTTAAAACAAACAAATTCAAGGATGAGACATGAATGACAACTTTGATTTTGTCAATATTAACTTTATTTTGAACTTGGACTTGCCACAGTGACTTATTTAGTACATGTAGTTAGTTCATAATGCACTTCCAACCATTGGACATTGCGGTACTGCGTTAGATAAACTTATGGCTGGAGTGGAATATCTCAGCTGATTTTCAAGAAGGTATATTAATTTAGCAAGGTTGTTAAAATATATAGAATCAAAGGAAACAATGTTTTGAAAGAAGGGAGACTTCATTGTTATCCGTGGAAGAGAAAAGAAAAAAAAAACTCTGCTAGCTGAGGATTTAGGACAACAGGCTCCGAAAACCGTACTCCAGGCCTTAATCTCAATTGGTACCTTCATCAATAAAGTAAAGGTTGTGAAAGAGAACCCTCTGACCCAAGAAGTCACTGCAGTGAATTGACTCACAAGCTTGCGTCAACTTTTGGAAAAAGGTGGCTATTTTCATGAGAAAGATGGCTGAATCCCAGCTGTTCCATTGCCTACACTGTCAAGCTCTCCAGTGCACTTTCTGTGCCATTGATCTGCTTAAACATGGTCATGGAATCCAACATCTATGTACAGTTGAGGGATCGTGAAAAGTTTCTCAAGATATATATTCTAAAACTGATCTCATTGTCCTTCACGGAAGCTTGTTACAATAGAATTTATAGTTTTGGGCAATAATATGTAATCCTAACCATTAGAATCAGCACAATTGATGGGGAAAGTAATCCCAAGAGCAGAACAGGACCTAAAACTTCGTGTAGAAGAGGTTTTTGAAAATTTTGTGAAAGCCTTGTGCATTTTAGTTTGTTTTGTTATTTTAGGACTAAGGCTTACAGAGACCATGTATTGATTTAATTTTAACTTTTTGTTTGCTTTCAGAAATTCATTCAGAGGTTACACAGCCTTGCACACAATTTTCTCTTGATGTTGACCCCTCTGCTGCAGAAGAGAGCATTTCAAAGAGAAGTCCTACTCCACCTGTTGTTCCTTTCTTTGCAAATAGTTTATCCACTAATGAAACAGACAAAGTATCTAATCAATCCCATGATGCTTGTGTAGCATCAGTAGATGAGAGCCCAGAAGTAGTTAAAACCCAGCTACAACGAAAGAATGAACAACCTGTCAATTCTATTGCCATCAGATCATGGGACATTTTAAAAAAAGTTAGTTGTTGTTTTTTAATACCATAAGCATTTTTCTTTGAGAAAACATTGAATATCCCATAAACTTTCAAGTATTGTATCTTCACTGACTGACTATTTTTATAATTGGATTTGCAAGTTGTATAAACCACACATGTATTAAACTTAAGTTGTTTTTCTTCCTCAGCAATATTTATTAAATAATGTGAACCACATCAGTATGCATGTGTTTGTGAATGTCTATGTGTGTGTGTATGTATATATGTCATTTAACATTCTTTACTATGTAAGGGTGGTGGTTGAGTGTAAAAAAAATATTACAAGCTATATTTGTCAATAATATATTTATTTAAATGGGTGAAGATTTGATTCTTCATTCTGACTGTGTGGGGGGTACAATATTTGCTTTGAATAAAAGGCAGATATAGGCTCTAATATTTATTTTATTGGTATTATTAAGAGGTAACTGCCAAGATCTATCAAGATCATGTACTTTAATCTTGTTCTTATAATATGTGTAGGTGGCAACATTAACCTTAAGACCAATTTAAGCCTATATCAATGTCAATGCACCATCTATCCTGGTACTCTATATAAGTACCTCATTCAGAAAATATTATCACTCTTTCTCAACAAAACGTTCACTAATGGGTTTCTCTGTACTACGATTGTTGGAGATACTTTGAGCATTCTTTATGTTACATAGTTGGTTTTCATAAAAAAAAAGAAAATTGTTTGGCAAGCCAATATACGACATGAATTCCCAGATTATTGTTTCCAGTAAGGAGGCAAATCAGGTCTCTTCTACCCCACTTCTGATATCCAGTGTTGCTCAACAATCAGGAGGGGGGGTGGGGAAGAGTTACTCACATACAGACACATTTTCATATTTTTTGAGAGCCAAATATGATCAATGCTGCATGGTGAAGGTATGTTCCCTACTAAGTACCCTCTAGTTTTTAGTGATTTAATGTGAAAGCTACATTTTGGGATGTTGCTGATAATTCTCAGCATCTTGCTATAGTGGCATCATTAAATCAAATATTGATATTAAATGCATTTAATACCAAAAACAATTAAAGGAAGAATCTTCTTTCAATGCATTTGAGACTTTCAGAACATATAGTTAGTGTTAAGATTTTAGATCATGAATATGTTGCCTAGGTTTTATGAGTTCTGAAAAATGACCCAAAACTTGAGCTCTTTGGAATAGTCAACTATTCATAAGCACTCCAGTTTTGGGTCTTTTTTTTTTCCTTCGTTGCACCTTTAGTGTGTGATCCTGTATGCTAACTTTTTTTTTATCAGAATTATGTAGGTTTTATAATAATTCTCTGCTTGTGCTCAAAGAGATATCAGCTCTTTAACCGGACAGTGAAGAATGTACTGGTCAGTCGAAGACAGTGATATTAGACTTGTCCTTTTTATCTCTTTTTGACTGTAAGTTAGTCACTATATATATATATGCAAAGGACCTATTTTGTAAGATCCAGAAATTAACTACTGATTGCAGAAAGTATGAAGTTCGTAAATACAACCGCTGGACTGAAGACTGTACTTAGTTAGATAGTATTTTTTTGTAGTTGGTTGTACATTACGATATGTAACCACCACAAATACTCATTCCTGAAATAACACACTATACTTCATGCTACTGGTGGGTTAAAAGTGTACCTGTGTAAGAAACAAGAGGCCTTTTAGATGTTAAAAAAAAAGCTTTTAGTTAATTGACTTATGTCCGTCGTTTATTTATTTGTTTGTAAAATTAAACTATTGGTTTCCTGAGAATGGCAGTCAATTTTTCTTTGTGTACGTGTTGTCTTTTAGATCAGTGGTTTCCAACCTTTTTCTAACTGAGTACTAGCTAGTTGTGATCCCAAAATTTCATGGACTGCTTTGTACAATATTAGCTTTTTAAAGTATTTTTAAATTACATTGTAAAAAATATACTTCAGCAGCTATATTTTAAAAGACTTCTTGTATATCAGTTGAAATCTCCCTGTAGATTGCACTGGTCCGTGGACTGGTGGCGGGAACCATTGCTCTAGAACTGTGTTGTCCGGTTGTCTACCTGTAAGGCTGCACTTGGACCCCATTTACAACTTACCTAGTTTCTAACACTAATTTAGTCATAATTAAAACCAGTATTATATTAAGTACTGATGGAGTGACAATATTTCAATCTAAGGTGGAGAAAAATTGACCTTTGGGTGTGTTTATCATTTGCCTTTTTATTGATCATTGGTTTGACAATCCTATTCTTGGGCAAGGTAAATTTAAACTATAGAACAAATATTTTTAATTGCTTCTATGTAATGTTGAAAAGTTTCAAAAGGTATTCAGTGAGAATAATCACAAGGATCTGAATTTGTTTTCTGAATATTTATTTTTGAAATTATTGTTTTAATTGTCCAATTTTGTAACAGAAATAATGTAAAAATCCACTTCTTTTGTGTTTTTTACCTCACCATGCTCAGCAGAATAGGATTTTATAAAAAAAAAATCAATCACTAGGAGTTTCACATTTGATGAATTTTTGTTGTTGACAGACAAAAAATTATTATTTTCAGGAACTTCTGGAATTAAATTCATTGATTCATCACTTTGCAGCACTAGTTACGGTAAGTCAAAATCGATGTTTTGTAGAATGTTAATGTTCAGGTTTTAGTTTTACGGGAAACATTTACTTTAGGACGTACAGCAGGTTAGCTGTTATATTGCAAGAATCAGTATGGTGTTCAAGTTATACATTGTTATGTTGTTTTTAAAATTACAGTATTGTATGGTGTGTAGGAGTAAGAAAGTATGTTAAAACATTTGCAAAAATTTCTTTGACTACTTTCAGTAAGATTTGATTGGGAATATTTGTTTCAGCATTTCTCCTGAGTGTTTACAGATACTGTAGTGGTGGTTGAGAGCCAGCATGGGCCCTGGGGCAAACATCTTTGCTGGGCCCCCCTTTTCTCTCTCTCTCTATTTTTTAACATTTTCAAGAATTTATTAAAAAGAAGATCCTAAATTAGGACAGCAACGAGCGCATAAGCCAGACAAAATCATAGCAGCAGCCGTTCTTACCTCACAATTAAGATGGATTCCTTGATTTTTCGTTTGTTTATGTTGGGTTCTTTGTTTAAAATGACTGTGTTTTTAATAGATATACTAATTGAACAAAACAACCCTACTCTAAACCAACACCCCGGG